AAATAAGAAGAGTTTCATTTGGTGCTTTTCCAGTGTAAACAATATAAACATCATACAACCTTAGAACAGTTTTTGTTTTACAGGACCTCTGAAGCTCATCTGGTTTAACACCATGTTTAGACCACCACCAAATTGAAGGAAGCCTACAAGAAAGCTGGAGGGGGACTTTTTAAACGGGCATGTGGTGACAGGACAAAATGTAAGGGGTTTAGATTGAAAGTGGGGAGATGTAGATTGGATATCAGGAAAAAATTCTTCACGGAGAGAGTGTGATGAGGCACTGGAACAGGTTTCCCAGAGAAGCTCTGGATGCCCCATCCCTGGAAGTGTTCAAGGCCAGGCTGGACGAGGCTTGGAGCAACCTGGTCTAGTGGAAGGTGTCCCTGCCCATGGCAGGGGGGTTGGAACTACATGATCTTTAAGGTCCCTTCCAACCCAAACCATTTTATGATTCTATGAACTTTAAAACTTTGATTAGGTTGTGCACCACCTTGTCCAGTTCTGGATATCTCCAAGTATGTAAAATCTACCACCTCCATAGTCAATCTGCTTCAATGTTTAATAAGCCTCATTGTAAAAATTATTTTTCTTTATATCTAGTCAAGGTTGCAAACTGTGGGTCTTACCTCATGTCCGTGTTGTAGAAGAGTCCATCTCTGACTTTTCTTTTGCTGATACAGTGTCCCTTTGCTAGGCTTTCTCCAGTTTATTATTGTCTTTCATACACTGGGGGCTCAAAAATGGACACAATAATCCAGACACAGTTTCGGAAGTGCTGAAAAAGTGGGTATAAGCACTGTTATCAGTACTCTTCCTCCGTCGTGGCTAATGCAGTGCAGGACATCGTTAGCTCTCACTGTTGCAAGGGAGCACTATTTACTCCTAAGCAACTTGTCACCCAAACACAACCCTTAACTATTTTCTGTTAGAGCTGCTCCCTAGACAATTGATCTCTACCAATTGTTCATTTTCAGATAATTTCTGTCAGGTCAGTTTTTCAGCTCTTTGAGATTCATCTGAACAGCAGCCTTATTATCCAGCATATTGACTGCTCCCTGCAATTTGGAGTCAACCTCAAACTTGCTGACAGTGTGTTCCTTTCCATATAATTACAAACCAACAAATCACACCACTACCATTTTGTCTGGAAGAGCCAATGTACTTGTTTCCCAGGTAGTGAAAAGCAAAGGATTGCTCTGAAGACACACTTCACAAGGGACTAGAGTAAGAGTTGAATTACCATGAGGAAGGAAGACCTGAATTTGAACAGGAAAATAACATTTTATATAAAAGCAGGCAATGACAGTTGCTCTGGGCTGCTGTTACTCAAGGTTGAATCTGGACAGAAACAGTCAATGTGCACACAAGTACCTTTCTGATCTGGCAGTATTTCCACCCATTGTCATCTTGCCCCTTGTACTCGGAAATGTCGAAACAAATATGTGTTTTAATATTAGTGCGCACAATAGTCTTGTAAACTTTATCCAATATTGGGTAAAAGTACCAATTATAGAAATATCCTTGTCTCCCTGACTTTCACATGATAGGATTGATGTAAAGGAGCCATAGCATGAACAGGAACTTGGCCCAAGATTTCTTGTACCCCCATGGAAAAATCAATAGGCAAGATTCCGTCCTGGTTACGACAGTGTCAATCTGGAGACACTACAGTAGCCAGCTGAGTTTATTTGCATTGCTGGAGAGTAAGATCAAGTCTTACTACAACTGGATGCGTCAATCATTAGCAGAGAGCCATTGTACCTCGCAATCGCATTGACTGCAAATTTCATACATAAGGAGCACTACATACAAAACTCATTTCAGAGTATTTAACCTCTTCCAGTACAAGAAGTAAGAGGAAATTGAAATGGAACACAAACAAACAACCTCTTACTGGAATGTGCACTTGACAAATGTATGGTTCTATCTGGTCACTATTTGAATTTTATAATACCTGTGATGCTGAGTCACCTTGTCCTATCAGGAAACAGAAGAACTATAAATCACCCTCCAGTGAAGAACCCCAGACCCTTCCACAACCATCTGAAGAAGGAAGGAAGAAACTTTTGATCTTCCTGGAAACCAAAGGTAGGATTTACATTGATTTGTTTGCTTTAAGTATTGTCATTTTTTTTCACCTATTAAAATGCAACCTATTGTCAGAAGACTCCTTGAACAATTTAGGACAGTCACAGAAAAAGATTTTATTCAGTGAAAAATAAGTATTACATAGGCAATAGTGTAACACAGCTGAAAAAAAGGGAGAGAGAATTGATGAACAAACAAAAATAGATGAAAAGCTGCCTGTATGCAAGAAAGCAGTATCTTGGCAGGTTATATGTACATAGAAAAAGACAGAGACAGACCGAACATATTGAACTGGATATATATTCAGTTCAGTATATTCTATTGCTATATGTAGCTATCACCACTTATTTTCAGAATGGGGAAATTAACACCTTGTGCAACTTCCCACACTTGTGCAAGGTGGCTGCTAATTAGGGCTGTGCAACAATGCTGTACAAGCTAAAGGACAGCTTATGTTATTCCATTTCAGGTCTTTTTCAAGGATAATAAAAAATAATGGGGATGTTCTTTTGTATGGATATTCAATTGTATGAACAATTTAGGATACTTTTTTTTTTTTTTTGAGGAAAGGTGAGAAAAACATATTCACACAAGTTTGCTAAACTCATACAAAATAGGGATGTTAAAGCACCATCTTTCCGTGGCAGATCCCTGTACACAGATGGAGTTGCAGGAAAGTCAGTAAGACTTGGCATGTGTCCTGATTTATGTTTGATTGAGGTGGAACAGGGAGGGGGACAGAGAGACTGATTTTAGGACTAGTGCCTAGAAATTAATGCAGAGCAATTAAATTTACATCTCATAAACTATAAGCATTTGGTTGAAATCAGTGGAATTGCCAAAAGTATGCTAATATCTTGGAGCAGGAAACCCACGGGGTCTTAAAAAACAGTGGCATTTTGAAACATGTATCATGTACTAAATTACCAATTACATTTAATTGTAAGTTAATTCATAGAAAATATTACAGTGAATGAATAATTATCTCATCTCTTCTTCAGTTTAGTTTGCAAAATAGAAAGCTTCACAATTTCAATGAAAATTTTCTTTCCATTGAAATAGAGAATTTGGTTTTATATGTTTTAGGTGCAAAAAGGGTTGTTTTGTATCTGCATATCATCACATTTTGGACGCAAAAGATGTATTTTTCCTTGTAACTTGGGTAGAGCTAAAAATAACTCCCACCTCTATTTATTTTCTAGTTAGAAATGAAGTGAAAAGAATAATTTTTCATGTTATTGGGCGTATAATCTTTTATTGATGAACACCTAGGTCATACACACTGCAAAGTTTTGTAACAAAATTTATTTCTGAGAAATAAATGGCAGAAAAAATAGTAAGAAAAAAATTCCGAGGTTCCAAAGCACTTCAAGAAGGTATAAGGGATGTCAAAATAAAACATACATGGCATAAGGGAATACCAAGAAGAGGAAATCAATGATTTATACTGTTAATTATCAGAATAGTTCCCACTGTGTTTTTCCCCTGGATCAACTAGATCTTTCTGAAACTGTAAGTGTTTGGAATAGGTCATCTTATTTTGGAGGCTGTGAGAGTTTAATCCTACAAATGTGGCCAGTCCATCCATTTTTTTGGCCTCTGAGCTACAGCTGCCCATAGTTCCAGTCCATTTCAATGTGCTTTGCCCTTTAGCAGCACTGGAGCAGCATCCCTGCTGCAGGCTGGGGACTGTGGGTCACCTCCAGTGTAATGTAAAAAAGCTGATGAGGGAAATGGGCCTTGCTGTACCATTTGGAAAAGTAGTTTTTCTTACCCACATGTTTTCCACAAGCTGAAGCACCTTGTGTTTTATATAAACCGGTTGCCTCAAGGTAAAAGGTCTTTGCTGAATATGGAAAGATCAGCAAATCCTATTGGCCTTTCCCCAGGAAAAAATTACAAATAAACCCAGCAGCCCCTTGAAAGGAAGTAAGAAGTTAGGCCAATAATATACCTTCGTGGCAACATGCCCATAAATTCCCTCGGAGTAGGAGGCTGGGAAAAATGTCAAAATAAGTAAATTCCACTCCGGTCACCTGTTTGCCTGCCCAAGGTAGCTAAGCAGAAACAAGCTAAATGTAACTCCCATGACTGATTGCAATCAGACACCGGAACTTTGAAGTGACCTATTACCTCCCGGATCACTGTAGTGGGATGATACAGTGTTTTGAGCTTCCTAGGCAAGTAGTCTTGGAGTAGAGAGTTTGGTTGTTGCTTCTTCAACTAGAGAAGGCACTCCTTTCTCTTGCCATTCCACAGCACCTGCAATATAATCAAGAATTGTCTTTAAAAAAAAAAAAAAAAAAGAAAAACAAAGAAAGCTTTCTGAAACAAGTCTTCTGGAGTAAGCCAGTGCTGGTCCATTTCTGGTCCAGCCAGTTCACTCCAAACTTGCGTGCAAGGCTTCACAGTGCTGGTCGTTAAGTAAGGGACACCTAAGCGTAGAGGTCTGCCTATAGGATGAGTGTCTAATTCCCTTTTCAACCAATGCAGTCCAGTCAAGGCTGGTGATGGGGGCTAGGGAAAGTTTAACACAGACACAGAAACAAGTGAAAATCCCAATCCAGCTGCTCAACAGTGCGGCAATGAGCAGGCAGCTTCCTACAGGAAGGGAAGTACAGATGTCCTCCTGTGCTGTGAACTCAGGTGAAGGCGTTCGGCCAGGATGACAGCAGCAAGTATGACATGTACAAAGCAGTTGATGCATAGAACTTCGGAAGTGCAGAGGAGGAAGGAATTTTATTTTTTCACTTCTAAAAATGAGAGGAGGATAGAAGGCAAAGAGAAAGGAAACATTACCTTGTTACTTGAGAAAAAGCCATGAAATACACAGGAGAAAGGTGCAGTATATATTCAGATAAATGAAACCTCTCTAAAAAATAAATTAAATCCTCATTCTTCCCTTTTCCAAGATGATCCTGCCGGTGATGTTCCTGTGTCTCTCAGTTGTGCTGCCTCTGTCCATCAGAGAGGTAAGATCTACACTTTGTACTCAGAAAATTTGGATGGAAACCAAGGGATTCATGGTCTGACTGAATATGTCTTTTCCTATGCACATTGATCATATGCAGAAAGAGTCTGATTAGATATCAAGGATCTGGAAAGCATTTATCCTTGAAGTCTGTTTAATTTAAAGCAGTAGACTGGTTCCACACTTGCACTCTAAACCATCCATAAACTCAATGTTATGTATCATTTGGGTCAGAGATAGCTACATTTTCCAGAAGATCCTGTACACAGATCCAGTAATCTGGATCTCCCACAGATCCAGCCTTCCTCCTGTTAATTCCCCACAGTTTTACAGGCAGTGGTTACCTAACTCTCCCTTTCTCATCCTAGAGGTCCTGAGCTATGTGCCTTTCCCTTTGCTTAGTGTCCCATTCTCTTAACATGTATCACTGATTCCCTCAAACAGCTGAATGAACTAACGTACGTCATGTACACTTAGAGGGGTTCTTCACAGCCCACTGGTCTGAAGTTTGAAGTTCATTACTTCTGCTTCAGAAACACTGAGGTGACTGAAGGCTTGACTACATTTCCCTCTAATTCTTCAGTTTCTGCTTTTCATGCTGCAGTCTAAAAGACTAGTGAGAATTGTTCTAAAGAGGAGGCTGAGTTCTTCGCATGGCTATTTTTTAATTTGAAAACACATGAAAAGTTTGAGAAGTGCTATCAGTTATAGAAGGAGAGGAAAAAATCTATGGCATGAAAAGCATAGACACACTTCTGTGTTCAGTGGGATGTCCTCATGAGGTACCACGAGAGATCTGTGATGATCCTGTGATTAAACAAGTTCCTTCAATAAAAAAGGTTGATAGACATGCTTAAAATACTGAAGAATCACACATCATAACCACATTTACATCTTTAGCTGATTTTTAGATCTTGTTTTACTCCTGAAGGATATTACAATAATAGTAAAATAAGCCTGATTCTGTTGCCTACATTTAAGAGTTTACAGGCACATGAGATGTCCCAGGATATCTCAGCCATCTACAGAGGGTTGGCAAATATGATGTAGGAACCAGTGTTAGTACTGGTAAGGTCTACACTGCAGATCCACTGAAAGCAGCATTCCCCATGGAAGCACCCCTAGATACACTTAGAATACAAAGCGTATGACAATACCTCTTCCATGACAAGGACCATCTGCTTGGTTGATATTAGTATTTTGGTATTTTAATATTTCCTAGGCAGGATTCAGAATTTAGTTACATTCAAATAAAAAAGATCAATTTAAAAAAAAAATCATGTTCTTTCAGTTTAGGAACTGGAACTTTTTGATGTTCTGTCAACTAGCAAAGTAGATCAACAAAAACTGATTGCTGACAAACATAATACCCTCAGGAGAGGAGTGAAACCAACTGCCAACAACATGCAGAAGATGGTAAGCTGTGCACTGTAAATCTATTTTTAATAAGTAGTGGACTCTATGAGAGATACAGGACTGTATGCAAAGTCACATTATTTTATTTACCCACAAATTCACTCTCCAGTCCTTTCCTAAGGATTAAACATGGCCAGTGCCAAGAGAAACATAAAGCTGAGCAGGTGGAAATAAAGAAGTCTGGAAAATTTTGGGGTGTATAAACAACGTCTCTTTATTTTGTAGGAAAAAGAAAAGGAAAAATAGGAGCCACAGCATTGTTCATTTCTTTCTGATGTGTTCTTTATCATTCTTCACAGTTTCTATTCTCCTGGGTTTATTTGTTCCTACTCCGCCTACCCCCCAAAAAAGGGGAAGAAAAGGATTTTCTACATGTTTTTTTTCTGATTTGAAGTGTAATTTCCAAATGTTGTTCCTTCATGAGGGATTATTAATTCATACAGGTCTGAATGACTAATATTTTCTTCTTTCATTAAGGAATGGTCTCCTCCAGCTGCAAGGAATGCCCAAAATTGGGCCAATCATTGTATTTTAAGTCACAGGCTTTCTGACATGAGGCAAATCCCTAAGTGAAGCATAAATGGTAACTGAATAATGTCATATATGTTATTGATGTGAATAGTGTGGTTTTGAAGGTTTGTTTGTTTCTTTGTTTGTTTGTGATGCCATTTATATTCAATGTGATTTCGTTGGTGCATGGGACAAAGGCAAAATTCTAGATGTAAGTCTGTCCACTAACTGAGAAAAGTTCTACCCCATTGTCATCCCAGCTGCATCAGTTTTACATAGGTTTATCCCATTTCCGTCAGCAGAATGAAAAAAAAAAAAAAAATCATAGTGAGAAAGCACATCCTCTCACAATATCTGTCAGAAAGAGAAGCTAGATCCCATTTATTGCAGAAACCAGCCTGAATGTGCTGGGTGAAACTGTATGGGAAAGAAGGGGTAAAGAGTGAAGGTTCAAATCCCGCTGCAGGTGCTATGCATAATTGCTAAAACAAGACTCATCATTCTTAAATCCCCTGGCAACTTGCAGCCTGTGCTTAGGCTTAGAGGATTTAGTGTTTTAGAGGTTCATATAATTTCTTCAGTCATTGTATATTGAAGTTACAGCTATACTGTGTTGACAACAGCCATGATCAGTGTTCGATGTGGTGCTGATTGCCCTCTGTCTATACTATATGTAAGATGTGGACTGTTCTTTAGTCTTCGTACTTTCTGCCTAAAAAACCAAATCCTCTGCTTCTTGCTAAGGTGAACCCCAGATGAGAACTAATGCAGTAGGGTTGGATATAAATAAAAACAGTAGGTGAAGACAGTATAGACCTTCCTGTGTACCAGAATTAAGCTTTGAATTATTGAGATTGTCCCAGGATTATTGACCTGCGACCTGAATAATGACTAGGTTGCTAACTTCCAAATAGCAAAACTACAGTCATCAATCTGTGGTTCACATGTGCAGGTGTACATACGGACATGCAGAAGGTCTGTCAACCACCAAACTACCAGCCAAACACATTGGCTATGCTGCATACTGGTCAAGTGACAATTTCAGTATTGACAAAGGGTGATGTTACTGAACTGGAAAAAAATCCTGCTGTCCTATCTGGGATGAGAACTTCCCTGGAAATCATACTACCTTGTGCTGCCTTTTTCTCACATGTGGTTTTTATGCATTTCTTTCTCTTTTCAGATGTACGATGTGGTGAAAATCTCTTCATGTCATCTGGCCCTTTCACATCATGTGATTTTATTCAGGTCTAGTACAATGAAGACAAAGATTTCACATATGGAATTGGAGCAAAACCACCAGGTGTTGTGACTGGCCATTACACTCAGGTAGATGCAACTTTTTTATATTTTGGTCTGAATAAATAAATATCTATATGTTAGCTAAGCAACTTTTACCCCTCTCATTATCTTTAAAGGGAATAAGTACAATGGAGACAGAAGAGTTATTCTGAAAAAAACAGTATGAAAATTTTCAAAGCAACAGAGTTAAAATGAAAATAATAAGATAGGTGTCTTTGCGGAGTAAAGAGTAAGGATAATGGTATTTCAAAACTTCAGAAAGAAACAAAAGCAAGAAACTTGTTTGTTTAACATCTGAAAATTGCTCAGAGTCTGGAAGAATAGGGTTATTAAAGTGTCAGGAAAGAAATATAAATATCTTTGTTATAGTCTAGACAGTTCCACTGACTCCAAGAGTTTCCAGTTGGACAGTGGCTTACAATAATCTCCTCTGTTCACCTGCAAAAAAACACAAGATAAAGAATTTTACGTCACGATTCCTCCATCTTCTTCAACAGTTTTAATTAAATGAAAACATAGATATTTGAGACAATTTAACTCAAACACTTCATATATATGTGTGATAAATTATCATTATATCCTAAATGTTCTTTGATTCAGGGGTGAAAGCAGGGAAAAAATGTTTTCCAGCAAGGTGGGACTTATATTTACTATAAAGGGTAATTAAAGTGAATCAACTAGGTAAAAATCTTTCATGAATGCGTATTGTACCTAAATGATTTTCAGATGCATATTTTTCATTCTCCCATGATTTTTATTGTTATACCTATACATGGCTTGGTACAGTTCTTATCAAACTGGATGTGCCGTCACTTTCTTTCCCAACAGTATATACAAATACTTTTATGTCTGCCAGTACTGCCCCACGTACTGCCCCCCTCCTTACCTTTCACACACAAATACTCCCTGAACAAAGAGGAAGCCATTTAGCATCTAAGTTTTCTGGAAATGTAATATGGCTCTCCCTCTGGCCATAAAGAGAGATTAAACCTTTCCCACAGGAAAATAGGATCACTGGGGATGTCAGTGCTTGGGTCTCCAACATGGGGGATGCACAAAACATAATGGCAGCACTAGTCCTTCAGCTTCCCAGTGCTGGGGCATCTCTTCTGACAGCTGGGCAGGGTCTAGATCATCTATTGTTAATTCTGCCAGTAATGCAGCTCAGAGGGAGGGACACATCCATCATTTCTTAATTCCTTACGGAATGCAGTCATGCCGTTGCAAGAAATCCCCAGTGCTGTACAAATCAGTGTATTTAATCCCACAGTCGTAGAATCATGGAATGACTGGGTTGGAAGGGACCTTAAAGACCATCTAGTTCCAACCCCCCTGCCATGGGCAGGGACACCCTCCAATAGACCAGGTTGCTCCAAGCCTCATCCAGCCTGGCCTTGGACACTTCCAGGGATGGGGCATCCACAACTTCTCTGGGAAAAAGTCCTCAGCAATAAAACAAAACAAGTAAGAGAAATAGTTGGGATGGTCCATCTATATGTAGTCAGAGCTCTGCACTGAAATAATTCACTGTTTTTTCCCAGGCCGCTTGGGTTCCTGCATTATATTCACCTATGTGTCACACTTCATTCTGGGAACTCTTACCAACACCTACATCCTATCAGAGCACGGGACTCTTGTTTCCCCCTGAAATCAGGCTCAGGTCAGAGGCAAATTTTCTTCTTTGAATAACTGTTATTTATTACCTACAGAGTGATTAATTGTTTCACATAAGGGTGTGAAAATTAGGTGCTTAACATCATTCTGCTTCAGTCAGAGGTAGTAATAAATTTTTCAAATAATTTGTCTCTAGATCTTGTATATAGAATGTATATTCTTTGCTTGGTTGCAATGTTTGCTCTACCTAGTTAACACATAATGATTCTCTGGACAGTACACAAGAGTTTGTGTAGCACCTTTGGGTCAAGCTTTAAACTAGATTACCATCCACTCGATGCACCTTTTGCTATGAAGTTCAGTTCACCAGTTGTATACAGATAAGATCTGGCCTTTATTTTCTATATGTCTCATACTCTAAAAATCAGTTTCATAATCTACATCAAATCAGACCATTTAAAAGAATTTTTAAACAATATGGTGGAAAGTGAATGCCTTCTAAAGATTTAAATATAAATGCTTAGATGTGTCAATTCTGGAAGACGGTCAAAAAGATTTAATGGGAATTATTTCATTTCCTACTCAGTCTTTGCTTTTTGAGAGCCATTTCTCATGGCACATAATACTCAGGAATAAAGGTACTTCTCAATATGAATAGAAACCTGAGCAAATAAGATTAGCGGAAACTATTGTACAATCTTCAGAAATTAGGAATTCTGTACTAATTGCCCATGTACATGCTCTTATCCCGTTATAAACACGAGGTAACAAAACCCATGTGGAAAAGAGATTTACTGTCTCCTAGTTTTTACTGTGCATGTGGAAAAAGAGCAAACATTTGAAGAGTCATAGGGGGTAACAATTCATTGCCAGCTCTATCTTATCCTGGTATCACTGGATTCAGATATCATGCTCAGGACCTAGATATTTTTGTGTTATTTTTTGTGGACATTGTCCTTTTGACTTTGCTATAGCTATGGCTTGTAATTAAGACCTTTTCATGTCAATCATAGAATCATAGAATGGTTTGGGTTGGAAGGGACCTCAAAGATCATCTAGTTCCAACCCCCCTGCCACGGACAGGGACACCTTCCACAAGACCAGATTGCTCAAAACCTCATCCAGCCTGGCTTTGAAGACATTCAGGGATGGACCATCCACAACATCTCTGGGCAACCTGTTCTGGTGCCTCACCACCCTCTCTGTGAAGAATTCCTTCCTGATATCTAATCTAAACCTCCCTGTTTTCAATTTAAACCCGTTACCCCTTGTCCTGTCACTACAGGCCCTCATGGTTCATCATGACTGATGACTATTATCCCCATTCATGAGGCCTTCTATGACCTCTTTACACATTCAAAACTCATGAGTCTTAGTTTGTAAACCTACAGGTTTACTTTAAAAACATGACTTTGAAAAAGTAATAAACTCAACATTTTTTTTTTCTCCTTGTCCAGTGTGATCTCTCTCAATATCTTTCAGGATTTCATTAGAACTACACAGGCTAGAACCAAAAAAAGTAATGGTTTCTTCTTAACAAAGGGACTGCATTGGCTGGAGATAAAAAAAAGACACTCTTAGACATGTATTAAAGAGTACAAAGGTGTAAGTGCAAGAGCTACAAAAGGTGATATATAATTTCATTGAAATCAGGTAAATGTGCACTTTGAAAGGTTTCATTTAATTTTTAATAGAAGGGGAAAAGCTTCAGAGAGGTTTTTATCAAAAAGTATATGAAATACAATTTTTTTTGTCAGCCCCAGGAGGCTGACTTTGGGTAACATTTCTTGTGAGACTGACGGGCACAGTTCTGAATCCCTCACCTACCTTAGACTGGCGAGGCGTATGGCGTGACCAAAGATCCTTCTGACTTTGAAAATTACAGAAAACAGATAGCACTTTGAGAAAGCTGCATGTTATTCACTTTCACTTCGTTAAATCATTTGTCTTTCCATTTGAAATCAGCTAGGATGAGGACATGCAGCAGAATGGACTTGCAGTGATTTTCAATCTTAAGTATAGCTTGAAAGCCAGTTCATCTTTTATTTGTTTTCCTTCAAATTTTTCATACTTTATATTTCATTCTTTATGATCAACAAATATATTCTTTCTATATTTATAGTTCAGCCTTGTAAATGGGAAGACAA